TGTGTGTGTGTGTGTGTGTGTGTGTGTGTGTGTGTGTGTGTGTGTGTTTTGGGGGAGCCGAGGGTGTCTGGCCCACCTCACCTGCATCCATCCTTGGTCCTGGCAGCCCCAGCCCAGCCCACCCCTGCCAGCACCCTGGGGGCCCTTGGCCCTGCTCCTAGGGAGAGGTCCGTCCTGTGGGCCCCGCTGGGAGGAAAGCGGCCCCAGACTTGACGCTGGCAAGGGTGCCAGCGCCAGGGGCCACCCTCCGCTGCCAGGTGTGCAGGGCTGAGGCCGAGGAGGAGGGGGCCCAGGAGAGGAGGAAATGTGGGCTGGGGAGCCACACAGGGTAGCCTGCTTCCCCCGCAGGACCTGCGACACAAACAGTCCCTTTGCAGACGACCCTGCCCCCAGCACCCTGCGTGACCCCCGCCTTCCACTTGGAATCTGGTCCCACGTACAGAACCTTTATTGAGCACCTGCCATGTGGAGGGACGTGTCCAATGTGGGCTCCCTCCACACCAGCCCCGACTGGGGCGGGGTCCACCTTGCCCCCGGGACACCCCCACCTCCCTATGACACCCATTTGTTGAGCGCTTATGAGGCCCTGAAGCGGTGGGGGGACCCCGTCTCCCCAGCACCGGCCACCACCACGGGCAGCAGCTGGGTCCCCGGGATGGGGTGGCGCCTGGGGCTCCCTCAGGATCTCTGGATCACCACCTGGAACTTACCTGGAAGAGAAGGGCTGGCTTTAGCCTGAGGCTGGGACCGGAGGGGAAAGGCAGCATCCCCGTAGCTCAGAGATGTTCATCCCTGCCCTGCGCCAACAGCCTGGGTGGCCTCAGCGGGGCCTCAAGTTTCCTCACGGTCTAGGGTGGAGATGCTTCCTGCCCACCTGGCCTGCATCCCATGGCTGTGTGGGTGACTGGGGGCATGAAGGCCAAGCATGTCGGTTGCTGGGGAAGGGGCTGGCACGGGCTTCTGGGGCATGTATTGCTCAGATCCTCCCAGGTCCCCGGTGATGAGTGGGCCTGGGGACTGGCAGAGGGCAAGACACCTGGAGGGAAGGGGACTAGAGGGTTGGCTGCAGGCTGCCCCCAGGTAAGGGTGGGGCCTCGGCCTGTCTGATGGAGGGCACTGTGGGCCAGCGGGGACCCGGGGGTCAGGAGGACAGCCCATCATGCCGGCTGCAAGTTCCATGGGGCCTAGCTGCCTGTGGAGCCCCTCAGCACAGCACCAACCCGGGTGATTTCCATTATGTCCACCTGGGTTCCCGCACCGGGAAAAGTGTTCGAAACCACTAGACCAGCTCATCGTCAAGGGTTGTCTCCTCCAGGCTGGCATGCCCCAGGGGAAGCAGGCTGCGGGGGACATCCAGGGGCAGGGGCGTGGATGTGCTGTACCAGCTGTGTGGCCTGGGCATGTGACTTAAACTCTCTGGGCCCAAGACTCCCCATCTGTGAAATGGGGCTGGGGTGGCCCGGCCCCACCTCCTCGGCCCCCCCGGAGCAGGGGGACCCCTGCCTCACTCGGACGGGAGCCCCCCACACCAACTCACAGGCGGGCAGGGCTGCCACGGAGGCGGTGACCAGGCTCTTGATGCCCAGGGTGCTGAGGGTGCCCCGTAGGAGGCCGCAGGTGAAGGCCAGGAACTGGGGGCGGGGGACACAGGTCACTGTGGGCAGAGGGGGAAGGCCAACACCCAGGACCAGGGGGGCCACGCTGGGCCCCTCCCTCTCCCGGGGTCCTGGGCTCGGGGAGGGGCCTGCCTGGGGCTGGAGTCCCAGCACCGCCCCCGTACCTTGGGCGCTTCCTCCAGGTACTGCAGACCCGAGGCCATCCGGATGAGAAGGGGGAAGCTGTGGTCCTGCAGGACGTAGGTCCCCTGGGGACAGATGAGGGGCCCATGGGGGCTGGGGTGGCACCTGTACCTTTGCTAGCGAGGAGGGGAAGCAAGGACCCAGGGCCCAGCCCCGCAGGGCTGAGGTCTGGAAGGACCCTTCCCTCAAAACCGTGGTGGTCGGTCACGGGCCCGTCCTTCAGAGCTGCACGAGGACCCACGGGCCTTCGGCCCCGGGCCTGGTGTCCTGCCCCGCTGGGTGCGTGACCTTCCAGGGTGGTGGTGAGAAGCTGCAGCCCAGGCCCGTGGAGCGGCCCGCCGGGCCCCGGCACAGCACGGGCTCCTAATGGGAACTAGGACCAGGTCCGGACAAGAAGCATCAGGCCGAGGCGAGGTGCCGCCGGCCGCAAGGGGCCTTCTGCCGGCTCTGGGGCCCATCCTGGGAGGCCTGCGGGGAGGCTGGAAACAGCTGCCACGCCCCACGGCAGCCTCCTGGCTTCCCCTGCAGGATGACACAGAGGCCCCGAGGGGGCCCGTGCCTGCCTCCCAGCTTGGGCAGGTCCCCGTGGCCGGGCTGGGCCGGCTGCAACCGCCCCGCGCGGGGGAGTCCCCTCCCCGGCTCTTGGGCGCTGGGCGTGGCCACGCACCTGATGATTGGTGCGGAGGCTGTCCATCTGCTTTTGGAACACGGCCGCCCACACGTCTTTGCATAGGAACTTGAGGGCGTCCAGCTCCTCCCTGAAGGCTAGCGTCTCCCGGGGCAGCCTGGGGTGGGGCCCAGGCCAAGGGAGGGGGGAGCCCCGAGATGAGGAAGAGGGAGGAGACCAGGCTGGGTTTCTGTGTGGAGCAAGGTACCCTCCCTGCCCGGCTGTGCCCAGGAAGGGACCCCACCTCAGCTCCTGCCCACCTCTCACCTCTCGCCCAGGGCCTGGCCCACGCGGAAGCCCATGCCCTCCAGGACCGACAGGCTCATCTTCTGTCCCTAGAAGGCCAGGGAAGAGAGGCGCAGGGGCCCTCGGTCACCTGAGGGAGCCGGGAGCCGCTGGGTGTGGGGGCTGCGAGGAGACTTGCCCGGCCCTGCCCGTGCAGGGCGAGGAGGCCCAGAGGGGAGGGCCTTGCTGCACAGGCTGGCAGGACAGGCCGGCTTTGCCCCTTCACCTCCTCACATGCCTCCAGAAACCCCATCAGCCCTCAGGACCCGCTCCCCTTCATTCCAGGAAAAAGGGGGTTTTCCCCAGGCTCAGCTTCACCCTGCCGGTCAAGTCTTTCCTGATAACACCCATCACTTCTTATATGCGCTTTCAGTGTCTGTCCTTACAACACCCTGTGGAGTAGCACTCCCGTTACCCCAGAAACTCAAGGCGACCTGCCCTGGGGCTCATGTGGCGAGTAAGGGGGCCACAAGGCATGGGCCCTGGCCTCTGGCTAGCAGGGGGGCTGAAAAGTCAGCTGTGATCATTAGGCCTTAACATATTAGCTGAGAATCCTGGGAGGGACGCACAGGGGCACAGGGGAGGGAAGTGTTCCCTCGGTGCCCGGTGAAGGCAGTGGTGGCAAAGCGGCCTTCTGGAGGGCAGGCCGGAGTCTCACGGTGGAGGGGCTGAGGGACAGGGGTGGCAGGAGGGCTGCACCTGGTATCTGTCCACGTGCCCAGGAGTGTGGACAGCGAGGCTGGAGGAGAGCTGACCTGTGTGTGTTTTTGATCTGTGTGACCTGGAGAGAGCTGAGCAGGCGAGGGAGGCTGGCCCAGACTGGGGGCGTCAGAAATACCAGGACGGCCTGTGGTGACCAACACAGGGCCGGGCACACCGGAGGAGGCGCGTTAGAAACAGATGCTGAACGAGCAAAGTGAGGAACTGGGACTCAAGCACACACTGTGCCGGGTGCCCTGTACAGACCCCTTGTTTAATTTTAACAACCCCATAAGGTAGGTTGTATTTCACACCTGGAGACCAGGCACAGAGGGGTTAGGTCACACCTCCCAGAGGCCCCCTCAGCCACGGGGCTGTCCTTCGGACCTGAGCAGGTCTGGCTCCTGCAGGTAGGTGGCAGATGGGTGGGCGGCCGGGGCAACACCCCCAGCTGTCCCTGCGCCAGGGAAGTGGCAAGGGCTGAGGCCCGCTGGGGGGACGCGCCAGGCGTAGGGAGGTCGGAGCAGAGGCGGCCTGCGTGCCGGCCCTCTGCTCTGCTGGGCTACGTGATATGCAGGCCCTGTCCCGCTATTCTGTGCTTTTCCCGCGAGAACCGGGCCTGGGGAAGGACACAGCTTCCTGCTGGTGGCACTGGCGTGCGCTCTCTGGTTTCTTCCAGCACAGCAGGGCCAGCCTTGCGGGGAGGGCTTGTAGACTCAGGATGTGCGGGATCTCAGCTTGGGGCATGAGAGGCAGAGAGGGGGACATGTGCCTGGTGGCTGGTTCCGGGGTCCGGGGCCAGATCAGCCCCTGACCCCTACCAGCTGCCCCGTGCCTCAGTTTCCTCACGTGTAAAATGAGGACCTTTCCAGGGTCCTCATGCGGATTAAGGGAGTGGATAAGTGCAAGCCAAGCGCTCTGAGTCAGGCTCAGGAAGCGCTACTGTCATTGTCATCTGCAGCCTCTGCACCTGTCAACCTGCATGACGAGCTGATGGGGAAAGGGAAGGAGAGACCCGTTAAGGAGGAGCTCTGTTCTGTGGGCTGGTGGATCTCAGCACCTGGATCACTGCCACCCTGCGTCACCTCCCTCCTAGAGGCGAGCTACCCGAGGGGGCCTGGCTGGGCTCCACTCTAAGTGCATCTGTGTCCCGAGGGACAGGGAAGACCCCAGGACTCCCCTGTTCATCCCACAGACATTTCCTGACTGGCCTCCGGGAGCTCGCCTAGCAAGCCTAGTGGGGATGACGGGCACCCAGGGGATGACAAGCTGGTGAGAGGGCGGAGGGTGGTGTGATCGGCACACTCACAAGGGTGGTGTGACCGGCAGCTCACTCTACAGCAGCTGTTGCTGTTGGCTCCATGGTCCCCAGCCCTTGAAAGGGGCCAGTTAAATATCTGCTGCACTGCAGAGACTGGGGGTGGTGGGGAGGGGGGAATAATGCGAGCAGGGAGGAGGAGAGGCGGTGGGGAGGGAAGGGCGGAGGATGAGCGGGTGACTCGGGAGAGAGGGCGGAGTAGGAGGGTGGCAGAACCCCACCTGCTCTCTGGCAGCCGCCTCCCAGGACTCAGCAGTGTTCAAGCCCCAATCCCTACCAAAGCTCTCCAGACACCAGGGGTTCGTCATTCCTGAGGAGGGAGGGCAAGGCGGGACACTCCCATCCCATTGGAAGCCTCTGGAGCCCAGCCCAGAGCACAACAGCCCATGGAGAGGAACCGAGATAATGGGAGAAACAGGGGGGACCCCTCAGAGGAGGCTTATCAGTGTGGGCACGAGGGGCATCCATGAAGCAGCACGGGCACTTGGAGGAAGGGACAGTCGGACAAGGGAACGTTCTTAGAAATGAAATGGTAGCCAGGAGAAACCTTTGTTCATGAGGGAGCTGAAAAAGAGACAAATCCGGAAGGTAGGTAAAACCTCACAGATTGTTAAGAAAAAAGGAAACCACGAGGTAGGAAAAAAACGAGAGAAAAGTTGACATGCGGAAAGAGACCTAGGAAGTCTAGGATTCCTCTGACTGCGAGAGATGGAACAGTGCTGGAGAAGAAATAATGAAAGGAGCCTAAGAGGAACATGTGCTCTGCTAAAGGCAGATTCAAGCGTCCAGACCGAAAAGGGGCGCAGAACTCCGAGCAGGATGAATGGAAAACAAGTAAACCAAACTGCCTCCCCCCTGGTCCCGTCCCGGACTGAAACTCGATGGAGCTGGGTGGGGGGCTGTGTGCCTGGCCTGCCTGGCCCCTTAGTTATTAGTTATTTGTGAGGTTCGAGCCCCACCCACGGAGCCACTCTGTGCTGGCCCAGGGCAGGGCGTCCCAGGAAGGAGCAGCACTGGTTCCTGCCTTAAGAAAAGCACAGGGAGGGCTTCCCTGGTGGCGCAATGGTTCAGAATCTACCTGCCAATGCAGGGGACGCGGGTTCGAGCCCTGGTCCCGGAAGATCCCACATGCCGCGGAGCAACTAAGCCCGTGTGCCACAGCTACTGAGCCTGTGCTCTAGAGCCCGTGAGCCACAACTACTGAGCCCGCATGCCACAACTACTGAGCCCATGTGCCAGAACTACTGAAGCCCGCGCACCTAGAGCCCGTGCTCTGCAACAAGAGAAGCCAGCGCAATGAGAAGCCTGCGCACTGCAATGAAGAGTAGCCCCCGCTCGCCGCAACTAGAGAACGCCCGTGTGCAGCAACGAAGACCCAACGCAGCCAAAAATAAATAAGTTTGTATATATTTTTTAAAAAAGCACAGGGAGAAGGGATGACTTCCAGCTTCCCCAAGGTGAATGGCCCCAGAAGACCCAAAAGAACTTGCTGCGTGACCAGGTGAGTGACAGGGTGAGAGCACACCTCCCACCCCGTCGCCCTGTCCTCATGCACCCAGGTGGTGCCCAGACAGCCCCAAATCCCACCTTCTCCCCTGACACTCTGAGCTCACCCAGCCCCCCTCCACCTGCCTTCCGTCTGCTCCTCACCGCTGCTCGGGCTCCTGCAGCAGCACCCTTCCCCACCCAACCTCCATCCAGTCTCATCCACGTGGCCAGGGAGGACTTCCGGAGAAGTAAATCTGAGCCTGGCACACCTCAGTGTAAACCTTCTATGGCCCCCACCGCCCTCGGGACAGAGCCCCAGTTCCCGCACGGAGACCCCACTGCTGGCTCTGTGGCCTCGGATGCACTGCGCCCCCTCCAGGGCTCTGCCCCCTGCTGTCCACTGTGCCAGGAACTGGTTGGTTTTCCAGGCTCTTGCGTGAGGACAGGACTGTATCTGATGGCTGCTACACCCACCACAGGCCCTCCTGAGAGAAGGGGCTGGCCTGGGCACTCACTGGGCCTCGGTGGACCAGGGCCTGCCCAGCAGGGCCGTTCCCGGGCCAGCGGCCAGTGGATGACAGCTCATTACACACACAGAGGGGTTCACTCCTTTGCCCACATATCTTCAAAGTTCCTGAGGTGGACAAACCACAGCCTCTTCCTCTGACTCCTGGAACTTTTCCCTCTGATAACAAAGGCCCTTCGACCTCCCAGTTCCTCCGGCCAGTCTTCCATTCAACCCGTAACCGTTCAGGAGAATCCATTCAACAGCCACAAATAACCAGGCAGGACATGGAGATCAAAAAGCCCTAAACAATGACTGTGGCTCCTGGACGCCTGTGCTGCGGGGACAGAGATGAACAAGCCACCATCGCTTTCCTCAAAGGGCTCTGGGGCAGGTGGGCGGGGCAGGCCTAATGCCACAGACAAGCTCCGGCACGGATGCCCGAGTCCTGATTTTGCCTTTGATCCTGGCTGTGCAGCGTCGGAGAAGCCCTCCTTCTCTGGTGCCTCGGTCCCTCCCCTGTAAAATGGGATGATGACGTCAACCTCAGAGTGCTGTTCTGAGGACTGAATCAGATAAAATCCTGTGCTGGAGACACGATAAGTACCCAAGAAACAGAAGGTCTGCATGGCGTTCAGACAGGACACTTGCCGGACCAAAGAGAGGAGCAGAGAGGGGAGGGGCCGGGAGCAAAAGAGAAAAGACTGCGTGAAAACAGCGCAGCTGCTCACGATGTGCTAAGAAACGGGGCTCCCCAGCTTGAAAGAATGTGGGGAGATGGTAGTCCTTCCCCTGGCTGCACACAGGAACCACCCAGAAGCTCTGAGGCCTGACACCTGGGCCACCTTCTGGCCCAGCTCCACCGGAATCTCTGGTGTGGGACCCCAGCATCAGAACTGCAGAGGCAGCTGGGCAGAGAGCCACGCCCAAGGGTCACAGGCGCGTTCGTGCTCTAAAAGCCCTGTGCTGAGCAAAGCTGAGTAACCGCCTGTCCCCCCTACTTGCTTGGCCACAGGAACCCATTAAAATCCTCCCAGAGTGTCAGAGAAGACACTGAGAAAGACAGGAGAGAGTTTACAGCACAGGCTTTGGAAGTGGGAGGCCCAGTTACATTCCTGACTCTGCCACTTGACAGTGAAGACTCCATCTATAAAAGCCCCTGTTTCCTCATCTACAAAGTGGGGGGGATCGTGCTGACCTTTGTGGGTTGTTAGGTGGATCAAACGAAATCAGGAATGTGAAGCCCACCAGGGCACACGATAGGTGCTATTATTGGCCACGATACTAAGTGAATGCCAGTCCCCGCCCACACCCTCCATGGCACAGGGGCTGCACTCACTTCAACAAATCCATGCTGAGGACCTACTATGGGGTGATCAACACAGACCCGGTCCCCATCCACACCACACAGCAGGCAGCCTGGCAGAGGAGAGGCTGTGAATCGAAGGATCATATGGGTACATAATTCAGATACATACTTATTGTGATGCAAGGATACCCCACTTCCACTGGGGGCTCAGGGAGGGCTTCCCCGAGGAGGGGACATTTGAGCCAAGATCTGAAGGATTAATAGGTGTCAAGGCAGTGACGATGTGACAGGTGAAATGAGCTGGAAGATGAGGGAGGACGCTGGTACAGGGCAGAGAGGAGGGAAGCCAGACTAAAGCAGGGAGGGGCCAGATGGGAACCATATTTGGACAGCACAACAGGAAGGGCCTGGCTGATGGCTGGAGGTGAGGGAGGAAAGGCAGATGTCAGGGACTCCCGGGTTTCTGGTTTGAAAGCCAGGATGGATGGGGTGCTGAGACACTGCAGCCCCCTCCCCAAAACACAGGCCAGCGCACACTCCCTCTCCCACGCGCTAACGTTCTCATAGCATTTTCCCAAGGTACAATATATACTCATTTATCTGATTTGCCCGCCTACCCCACTATAACGTAAGCTCCAGGAGGGCAAGGGTTTTGGCATGGTTCGCTGAATAATCCCCAGAGCCTACAGTAAGGCTTGGCACCTTGCAGGTTTTAGTGACAGTCTGTTGAATGAATGAACTTGAAAAAACTATGTTGAGATGATAACAAGCAACACCTTTGTCCTTCTGAATTGGGAAGAAAACACAGACCGATAAAAATGTCTTGCATATTGACGATGATGATCATAGAAAGAATAATAATGAAAAAAGTGAGCACAGCCCCACTTAAGCACCTACTCTCTCCGTCACCCTTTCTTCTTGGTAACAGACTTTAAAACAAGAGCTCCGTGTTTTGAGGGCTGATTAGGTGCTAGACATCGTACTAAGTGCTTTGAAGTCTGAGCATTTATTTTTCATAAGGGCCAACTTCCAAGATGCCAAGCACGCTCCTTCCGCAAGGCTTCGCAGAAGGCTTCCCCCTTCCTGGAATGCTCTTCCCCCCACTTATCCCCGGGGCTTGCTTCCTCCCTTCTCTTCCTCAAAAGGCTTTCCTCCACCATCCAGCACTCCACCTCTCTTCTTTCCCCGACTCGGCTGAAGTTGTCTTTATAAAACTTCTCACTAGCTGGTGGCACATTCTATGTTTATTTATTGTTTTGACTCCCCTACTAAAACGTAAGCTTCACGAGGACAGGGAAACAGTGCCCTGAATACAGCAGGCGCTCGGTAAGTTTGCTGAATGAATAAATGTCTCGCTCGGAGTCTTAGGTGCTGTTATGATCTCATTTTACAAGGGAGGAAACTGAGGCACACAGAGGTCGAATCACTGGCTCTCACACCCTGTATGAGAGATGCAGGCGGGATTCAACCCAGGCTCAATATACGACTTCTCAATATATACCCAGTAATCGTAATTACTGTAATTGCTACCCGCTTACTCTGTGCCAGGCTTTGAGCTAAGAGCCTGACCCCGAACTGTCTCGCTCAGTTCTAGCTGCGACCCTCGAGGCCGGCACTGCTGCAACCCCGCTTTGCAGAGGCGGAAGCTGGCGCCTGAGGTCGCCCAGCGAGGCAGGGGCGGGGCGGAGGTCCGACCCGGGCCGCTGCCGCGCCCTCTGCTCCTCCCGGGGCCTCGACCCGGCCTTCCCGCCGCGGCCCGTGCCTCCTTCCCCCCGGGGCCCGGCGCTCACCCCGGGGCCGGGGTCCGGATCTTGCGCCCACAGCTCCGCTACCATTTCCGTGTGCAGAAACTCGAACAGTGCCGCGTCAGCCATGCGCCGACCTTCCCTGTCTAACAACCGTCCAGCGCCTCGTGTCCTCATTGGCCCGGCTGGGCAAGCTCCGCCTCCTGCACCTAAGCGCGAGCCCGCCCACTCTCGCTTTCATTGGTGTTTCGGGCTAGCCCCGCCTTTCTTTTCTGGGCTCTTGTGGTGCGCACCTGAACTTGGGAGACTAGGGGGAGGGCCTGCTTTGTCTATATTGGCCGCACGTGACAAGCATCTCCGCCCTTCCCTCTGCTTCTTCCCCGTTTCCGGGTCCTCGAGCATTTCCATTGGCCGAGTCGCTTGTTACACGTGACTTCTCGTCATTTAGAGTCCCCGTCTGTCTACACGCCTCGCAGCACAACGCGGAAGCGCCAGCCCAACAGCTTTCCTATTGGCCGTGCCCATATTCACGTGGCTCCTCACACACACCCCTCAAAGCTGGTCCTGAGGGCTTGCTTCCTGGTTGGTAGGCGAGCGGCCCAGGTGATTGGCCGCCACAACCTGCTCCCCTATTGGTTGGGGCTGCCGCCTTCTCCTTTCTCGGTAAAGACTCCGCACTTCGGCTAGGTAGCGGATCCCGCAGGCTGGGCGCTCCGGTGACTCGGTACGGTCTTCGGTGATAGCGCTCCCTACCCCGCCCTTAGTGCACCCGTCCCAGAGTCCAGTTGGGCTGTTACCCTTTCTGTGACCCAGGCACTTGTACGTGAACGGCTCAGGGCCCGTGTGCTTCCGAATCTGACACAGGCTTGGAGGAGGGTGTGGCCTCTGCTAGGAGGCAAAATCGGAAAGAGCTTAGTTTGGGACTCCGGGTACTCGTGCCTCAGCCTTGATCGAGCTGGTGGTCCTCAGTTTTCCCATCAGTACACTGAGGAGGCTGGGGTCTAGTAGCCCCCATCATCATCATCATCAGGGATGATGATGCAGAAAAGGAAACTGAGGCCCAGGCAGGGGAAGCAGATGGCCCCAGATTGCTAAGGTAGTCAGTGGAGGGGCTGAGAATCCAGAACTTGCGCCTTTTAACCACGGCAGGGCGCCCGCCTCTCATATCATCCCTTCGCGCGTCTTCTCCCTAGCTCGCGCCATGGCGTCCCAGAGTCGTCGGCGGAGGCCGCTGCGGAGGCCTGCGACGGTGGTGCCGGGGGAGGCGGCCGAGACGGACTCGGAGCTCTCTGTGTCCTCGTCGGAGGAGGAGGAGCTGTACCTGGTCCTCTCGGGCCCGACGCGCGGCCGCCCCACGGGACTGCGGGTGGTCGGGGAGGCCGCGGAGACCGACTCGGACTCGGAGCCGGAGCCGAAGGCCGCGCCGAGGGATCTGCCTCCGCTCGTGGTGCAGCGGGAGACTGCCGGGGAGGCCTGGGGAGAGGAGGAGGCCCCGGCGCCCGCCCCCGCGCGTTCGCTGCTGCAGCTCCGGCTGGCTGAGAGCCAGGCGCGGCTGGACCACGACGTAGCGGCCGCGGTGAGCGGCGTGTACCGCCGCGCGGGCCGTGATGTGGCCGCCCTGGCCGGTAGGCTGGCGGCTGCCCAGGCGGCGGGATTGGCGGCGGCCCACAGCGTGCGCCTGGCGCGGGGGGACCTCTGCGCGCTGGCCGAGCGCCTGGACATCGTGGCCGGCTGCCGCCTGCTGCCCGACATCCGCGGCGTGCCGGGCACCGAGCCCGAACAAGACCCGGGACCGCGAGCCTATCTGTGACCCACTCTCCCGCCTGACTGAGCCCTGGGGGTAGGCCTTGCGGCCTCTGGGACCTGGCTCTGTGCCCTGTTTAGCCACCCACCCATCTTACTGTCACCCTCAGAGATAACCTCGCCCCCTGGATAATGCTCTGTGGGGGGGGGGGAGGGGGGAGAAAGGGGGGTTAATGCTGTGCAGCCCTGCCAGGCCCTAGCATCTGGTTCCACCCCCTGGCCCTGGCGCTTGCTCCCTGGTTCAGAGCTTGTGTGTGTCTGAAGCTTGGCTCAAACTGTTGGGTAACTAGCCACTCCTTAATCTGTCTCCATCTTAGCGGTTCACAGAGCCTCACCTCTCCTTTCTGTCTGCCTTCCTCAGTTTGGTTTCTGTTCACAGGGGCTGGTCCTGCTTCTAGCGCAGATTCCCTGATGTCTCTGGCCCTAGTCCCACTTCTGGAATTCTGCCCTCTAATCTGGACCCTTTTTCTGCTCCTCAGGCTTGGCTCTGATTCCATCTCCTCCTAGTCCTTGCCCTTCCGCCTCCTGGCTCCTTCTCCTTGGGCTTAGCTCCACCCCCTTGGCCTGATCTTGTTTCCTGGGTCCAGCTGTACCCTTAGGTTTGGTTCTGCTTCTTTTTGCTTCTCCCATCCTGTTTAACTACGTACTTAATTATGGGCTCCAGGGACCCCCTATGGTTTTCTTCATCAGGCCCAAGATGAGACCCCCTCTTGACCCGAGGAGGTCCCCCTCCCAGCTCTCCAGGCCCAAGTTGGTGTGTCCTTCCCACCCTCCAGGCCAAGATCGCGCCTTCTGCCCAAGTTCCAGGTACAGGATGGGCCTCCTCCTGACTTCAGGCTGCGAGTGCCGCCAGCAGGCACTTAGGGCCCAATACAGACTCGCCCTGGAACTTTGGGCACAATATGACGCCACTTTGCCGATAAGGACCACATGTATTTTGTTTGGTCACCGTGTTGTTCCCTGGATGCTAAAAGGGCTTGGCTGTCTGGCTTGTCTCAGGGCCTGGGGTTAGCTCCTTCTTTCTGCTCCTCACCTGGTCCCTCTTCTCCCAGCCCCAGTCCCTCAGTCCCATTCACATTTATTCCCCTCCCCCACTCTTACCCCAACCTGAGCTGAGATCTGGGCCCCCAGGATGGAGAAGTGGGGAAGAACGCTCTATGGCAGACTCATTAAAACTCAAGACATTTATTGATATGGTCCGTTCCTCTTATCTCGCCATCTAAGCTGGGGGCGGGTGGGTTGGTGATTTTGCTGAGAATGTGGGTCCCGCGAAAGGGATCCTTCACGCCTGGCCTATTGAAGGTGAGCCTGTGGCCGGGAAATCAGGGCTCCTAGTTTTTTGCCCTGGTTCTGCACTTATCTGTATTTTGTTAATTCACCACACATTTGTTGAGCTCCTGTTCTTTGCCTGTCCTTAGCTGGGCACTGGTGGTGCCCACAGGCTGGGCCCTTGCAGAGCGCACAGTCCCCTGGGGGAGACAGCCATTAAAATATTCTTGCAAATAAGTGGATAGTTTTCATAATTGTAACTTACACTTCAACTATAATTCTTCTGGCATTGTGATTAGTGCCGTAAAGAAATATAGGAGCTTTGTGAGGGTGTAACTGAGGTCTGTCTGACCTTGTCTGTGGGGAGGTCAGATGGCTTCCCTGAGGAAGTGATGAGTGAGTTTGAGCCAAGCCCTGAAGGTGTAAAAAAGGTGAAACAGGTCTGGTAGAAAAGAGTTGCAATCAGTGGGAATAGCATATGCAAAGGCCGTGAGGCAGAAGGGGGCAGAGTCTATTTAATAACAGAAGAGGGTGATATCTTCTATTCTCCACCTTGAGTGGAGAGAGCAGGGGAGATGGGCGTGGTGAGGGTGGTGAGTGCTGTGCTAGCAGGGGCCAGACGGAGCTGAGCTTTTAAACCAGGTGAAGATTCTCGATCTTTATTGAACAGCCAGTGAACAGAGAATGATGCCGTCTGATGAATGTGTTTTGTGAAGGAGACTCTGAGACTGGTGCTTCTGCAGTGTGGTTGCCTCTGATAAATACCCAGAAATACTGGTTTAAAGAATCAAACTTCCTTTTAAAGGTACAGCTGAGCTCAGAGAGAACGAGAAATCTCCCGGGCCCAAGTTAATTTCTGCTGCACAGCAAAGGTTTTAGTTCTACTCACATATATATATATATATATATATATATATATATATATATAGTCTCTTTCATATTCTTCTCCATTATGGTTTGTCACAGGCTATTGAATATAGTTCCCTGTGCTATCTAGTAGGACCTTGTTGCTTATACATTCTGTGTATGATAGTTTGCATCTGCTAATCCCAAACTCCCAGTCCTTCCTTCCCCTCCTCCTTGGCAACCACAAGTCTGTTCTCTATGTCTGTGAGTCTATTTCTGTTTCGTAAATAAGTTCATTTGTGTCATATTTTAGATTCCACATATAAGTGATATATGATTTTGTCTTTCTCTGAGTTACTTCACTTAGTATGATAGTCTCTAGGTCCATCCATGTTGCTGCACATGGCATTATTTCATTCTTTTTTATGGCTGGGTAGTATTCCATCGTGTATATATACCACATCTTCTTTATCCATTCATCTGTCGATGGACATTTAGGTTGTTTCCACGTCTTGGCTATTGTAAGTAGTGCTGCTATGAACATAGGGGTGCATGTATCTTTTCGAATTATAGTTTTGTCTGAATATATGCCCAGGAGTGGGATTGCTGTATCGTATAAAGCCTTGTATTTTAACAGGTGCTGGACCTTGGGCCAAGCACTTATTAGAGAAGCAGAGGCCCTGGCATGAAACTTAGTCCCTTGAAGGGCTATATCTTGAATGAAAGAATGTGGTAGAAAAAAATCTGATTGATACCATTGAGGCATACCTAGGAAACTTGTCCATTTTGGCTTAGGCTCTGGGGAGAGAATTTTTCCTCAGGGAATTCATAACCACAGGCTTTTCTTCAGGCCTGATTGGGGTTTGGGTATACCCTTACGGAGCAGTTCAGGGAACCCCAAGCATTGAAATAAACTGAAAGTCGGCTCTGGCCAAAGCCAGGGAAAACACCCTCAACCAGCCTCATGCAGAATTACAGCAGACTAATATAGACCAAACCTAAGTTCATAGTTGAAAACTGCAGAGTGCCACTTCCCTGGTGGTGCAGTGGTTAAGAATCTGCCTGCCAATGCAAGGGACACTGGTTTGAGCCCTGGTCCAGAAAGATCCCACATGCTGCGGAGCAACTAAGCCCATGTGCCACAACCACTGAGCCTGCTCTCTAGAGCTTGCGAGCCACAACTCCTGAGCCCATGTGCCGCAACTACTGAAGCCTGTGCGCTCTAGGGCCCGCGTGCCGCAACTACTAAGCCCGCGTGTTGCAACTACTGAAGCCCACGTGCCTAGAGCCTGGGCCCAGCAACAAGAGAAGCCACTGCAATGAGAAGCCCGTGCATGGCAATGAAGTGTTGCCCCCTCTTGCCACAACTAGAGAAAGCCCACATGAGGCAACAAAGACCCAACACAGCCAAAATTTAATTAATTAATTAATTTTTTTTAAAAAAACTGCAAAACATACCAGATGATAAAGTGATGAACCAGTATGGGCTGCTGGTTCCCTTCCCCAAATTTAACCTTGGAGAAACTGGAAAAAAGAAAGAAATCCGGATCCGAGGAATAACAAAATGTTGAGAAGTCCTCAGGGACAAAGATGTGATCTGACATAGTATTCTGCTTCTTCTTTCTTTGTAACAAATGACCAAAAATTTAGTGGCTTGCAACAGTTGTTTTATTATGCCCACAGATTCTGTGGATCAGGAATTCCAGCAAGGCTCAGCTGGAAGATTCTTTGGTTCCTCGTAGCAATGACTGAGGTCACTCAGGTATTCAGCTGGCAAGTGGGTTGGCACAGAGGGTCCCAGTGACTTCACTCAGGTGGCTGGACTACTATGACTCAAAGATTAGGATTGCTGACTGGAGTGTCTGTATGTGGCCTTGAGCTTCCTTCAAACATGGCAGCCCCAAAGTAATCAGATTCCTTACATGGCAGCTCAGCACTCCAAATATATTTCAGTAGACAAAGCAGAAGCCCTTGGGTGTCATGCATGATCAGTTCTGCTGTGTTCTGTCCGTTATTAGCAAGTCACTAAGTCCAGCCAAGATTCAAAGGAGGGAGTGGAGGGGAAGGAGACATAGACCTTTGATAAATAAGAGTATCAGAATTTGTGGATCTATTTTGAAACCACTACAGTTAGATGGGGCAGTGGGTTGTGGACGAGTCGTTGACTTTTTCGGTCCCTCTCTTTCAGTGTTGCCTTGGGTAAATGATTGCCTGAGACATGAGAGCATCAGCCACTCACACCCTCTGGGGAGGGTGAGGTCACATCAGGGTGCTCCAGATTCCTATTTTATTTAATGGGTTATAACATTGCTCTCTATTTTGATGCTCAAATTGTGTCCAGTTTGGCCAGCAGGACCCCTTTCGAGCTGGCTTCTGTGTCCTATTGACATTTCTTCACCATTCTTTGAATACTTTCTTGCTCTCCGGCACAGAATGATCTAGGCACATCTTGTTTTTTTTCTCTGCCTCAGCCTTGAAACCATCCACCTCTGCAAGGGTCTCCTGGTTTCTTTTAGTGGGAAATGGTGTTTAGAAGCCAAGATGTGGGTGCTGGGTGTGCTCATTGCTAATGAGGTGTTGCTACTCCCAGGCCCTCTCAATGCACAGACCTAGAAGAAAAACACAAACAAGGCAAAAAACAGAATAACTATCTAATCCCTACACCATACACACATTTTAAAATAGACTTTATTTTTAGAGTAGTTCACAGCAAAAGTGAGTAGAAGGTACGGAGAAGTCCCATATGCCCCCAGCCCTAACCCTCACAGCCTCCCCCGCTATTAATATCCCACACATCAATTGTATATTCGTTACAACTGATCAACCTACATCATCATTACTACCCAAAGTCTGTAGATTATACTAGAGTTCACTCTTGTACATTCTTTAGGTCTGGACAAATGTATAAATGACATGTATCTACCAGCAGAGTGTCTATACAGAATAGTTCCCCCGCCCTAAAAACCCTCTGCGCTCTGCCTGTTCATCCCTCCCTTCCCCCAGCCTCTGGCAGCCAATGATTTTTTTAATGTCTGTGCAATTTTGCCTTTTCCAGAATATCATATAGTTGGAATCAAACAGTGTGTAGCCTTTTCAGGTTGGCTTCTTTTGCTTAGCAATATGTATTTACGTTTCCTCCATATCTTTTCACGGCTTAATAGCTCGTATCTTTATAGCACTGAATAATAACCCATTGTCTGGAGGTACCGCAGTTTATTTATCCATTCACCTGCTGAAGGGCATCTTGGCTGCGTCCAAGTTTGGGCCATTATGAATTTAAAGCTGCTCTAAACATTTGTGTGCAGGTTTTTGTGTTGATATACGTTTTCAGCTCCTTTGGATAAATACCAAGAAGCATGATCGTTGGCACACACTTTTTATCTTTCTATTCCAATCCAACATCGCTGGTTTGTTCTAGTTTTCTCTAAGAGGGAC